AATTGTAAAGGTCAATCTTCTTATTTCATAAAAGCGTAACTTTCACAAAAAAAATACCATAATATTGAGCAACTCCTTTTTGCAGTAGGTTAAAACAATAGTTATCACATAAAAAAATAATAACTAATTTACTGTGCATCGTAAAAGCAGCCGCACCTTTAGGTTACAGTCTATGGTATAACGTAGAACAAATATTTGCTGCCAGGCAAAGTGCTGCTCCGCCATTATCTCACTCAAGGTATACCTAAGGGCATACTTATATACCCGGAAGTGTAAAAACAGACGAGGAAAAAGGAAATTGGGAATATGGATTTTCTTTTTGAGAGAATAAGCTTTGTTGTTTGGAATATTAATACTTGGGGTTGAAACGGGGTTTTCACCCGAGTGACTTCGGTTTTGACCCATAGGGTATTTAGACCCTTGACTGGATCGGCTTACATGTGTGATGGAAGTTTTAGAGCGTTTATGTAAGTGCTATAGTAAGGTCAGAATATCATACAAAAATTCTGTTATCGTCTTATTAATATTAATATCCTTGGATAATTCACACAGCGTTATCTAATCCCAAGTTAAGCAGAGCTTGTGTGATGGGTACTAGGCTACTGATATAAATACATAGTTTTTTTTTTAAAATACATACATAATATACATAGAAAACACCCAGACTGATACAAACAATCTTATTCATGCATACAAAAATTTGTACTGTGCAAGTAATCGAACTCGCGACCATCGGAAGTAAAACGGTATAAACCACTAGACCACCGAGGCCGGAAATTGTTTAATATTTAAATATTACAATTTAAACATCTCTACTGCTAGTACCTTTAGCTAACCCATTTGCCATTATAATCGTAAAGACAAGTATATATGTGTCATGATTTTATATAAATATTGTTTTATTATTTATAATAAAATGTCGCCACTATCGTAAGAAAGTTGATTGGTGGTGCCTGACGAATACTACTTTAGGAAAACGCTAGAGGTTTAAACCTTAGCTCAGGTCATCGTAATTGCGATCCCCATCGAAATTGGACGGGGAATCGATCGGAGGGGACACACTCATGAAGTATAACTCATACCTTGCATTCCAGAAGATCAAGGTACCATGTTTCCGAACCCTGTCATTACGCAGCTATTTATTATGTAACAAAATATACAAAACAAGTAAGGGTCTAGTAGAAGACCCTCTTTTGCATATTTTCATATTTTTCATTAATAATTTCGTCAAGTTCCACTCCACACAATGGTATTATAATTTCATTTTGTAATATTCAAATTATAACTTTCCCAAACGACGGTTAGGTAAAGAAAAACTCCGCTATACATAAGCAGATATCTCTATTATATACTTGTAATGTTTGATTAGGATAATTTCTGTAAGAATTTATATTAATATTCGGTAAATAAATTTTTGTGTTATTTTTGTAAGCGATTCTGAATAGAAAAGTTTTCAATGTGATCATTTTTTTTTATATTAATATATCCATTATTTTTGTTATATAACTTATATCCTCTAATTATTTATATAATTATACAATTACTAGCTACTCGCCCTGACTTCGCACAGGTGTACATGTATTATATATATAAACCTTCTTCTTGGATCACTCTATCTATTAAGAGAACCCGCTTCAAAATCCGTTGTGTAGTTTTAAAGTTTTAGGCATACATAGGGAAGGACAGACAGCGACAGCGACTTTTTATATTATGTAATGATAAATATTAGCTATACATTACATGGTAACTTTATTAATTATATATATACATTATATTTAATTAATTTCCACGGGTTGAAAATATATTTCAAAAGGTCGAAGTTCTTAATTAGATTGATATGTTCGTGCATTGAACACAATACATAATGGTAATATTGAATTCTGAATCTATTTCCAACCGACACTAAAGTAACTGACTTGCCCATTTATTTTTATTAACATCCCTTAATATTACTCGGTGCTAAAAAAACCTGTAGCACTGCGACCTGCATAGATCAATTGTGCTCTCTCTTTTGAGTTCGCTGTCCGTCAGGGACAAGAATTGAAGGATATTCTTTGGGACAGTTATGGATGATTTTTATCTCCTCAAGATAGAGCGTGTAAATAATTTACTCTAAGAAGTAAAAGTGGAAATTTAAAAGAAAAAAACAATCCCGGGTTTTATAAGTCTGAAAATTTCAATAATTATTTCTACTCTAATTCTCTGTTTCACAAAGAATTAAACTAGAAATAATTACGTAGTAGAAAGTATTTGGTTTCATGAGTATTCTACTGGCTACTAGTATTCTATCAGCTTAGTATCGGCTTTTCGACTAACCCTTATATAGATGTACTAGCTTTTGCCCGCGGCTTCGCTCGCGTTCATTTATCTCCTTAGAGGTGGAATTTATCAAAATGCTTTCTATGGGGATGCCTACGTCATAACATCTACCTGCATGCCAAATTTCAGCTCGATCCGTCCAGTGGTTTGGGCTGTGCGTTAATAGATCACTATGTCAGTCACCTTTAAGTTATATATATTTAGATAAAAAAAAGAAAAATATATTTTCCAATAACGGGAATTTCTATCTGTGCATTCTACTACAAATAAAAATTCTGTTTACTCACAAATATACTAGATAACCTACACACGTTTTCCGAACTGTTCCGAAACTTTACTACAGACTAGTCCGAAACAGTAATCTACTATGTTAAATTAGTAAACCCTTCTCTTTAGAAGTAGGACAAGTCTTGTAATATCTTTGTAGGCGGGATGCGAAATACGTGTAATGAATGTTAATTTTTTTTAATTATCATACTCAACATCTGCCTGTGACTTTAGGATAATATCTGTATGATTACGACGTAATTTATTAGCGGTAACGGCCTGTACTGTCGGGTGGCTCTAGGGTTGAACAACTCACATAAAAATAATATTACATATTAGGACGCGCATTTTTTGTATAATTAGAATGACTACTGATCGCCAAGTAAATTCAACCTTAAATAATTAAAATAATAAGTTTGAAAATTATTAAGAGTCTGCTGTAAAAGATTTGCTTTACGTACATATAGATTACCTTGATAAAAACACAGAAACAAACCCCGATTCGCCGATTTGACAGTTAACAATATTGTCATTATTTGACATTGACTTTTTATTGTCAGTCGTCTAATATAATGGTAACGAATGTAATATTTTTTTTTATTGATTTAATGTAACGTAATTAAAAAAATATTATTATCTTTCTGTACTTATTCTCTATATAATCTGTAAGTATGCGAAATTTCTTGCTCTTTAGTCCTGGCAATTTTTGTAAAAAGGGGTACAAAGTTTTTGCTTGTCGTATTAATATTATGATAAACATGCTGACGGCCTAACTGATGATCGTAATCTATATACATACATGAGTAATGACGTCACGTTATTAAGTAGGAATTATGTGTTGTCATTCCAGAGAAATAACATATCATGCCTAATGGATTTTTTAAAATAATAAAATGTATTTATTCCATTCCATTATTAGTATTCACAATTTTTTAACAATAAACATCTTGTAAATATAATAGTATAAGAGAAATTACACTGCCATTTCTCACCCTCCAACTGTAATACAGCATACAAAGGAAGACTTGGCGGCTGATATAGGTGAAACAAAGATACCCATGTAGACAAATTTATACATAGTCTGCGAAAAAGACCCGTATATACAAAACTTCCGTAAAAGTATCTATATTACCGTGAAATATGTATCAAAATCCGTTGCGTAGTTTAGAAGAAATATAAGTTGTGATAAGTGAAAAGTTGGTAAAAGGGGAAACAGATAGACGCCGGTAACAAGTTTGTTTTAAAATATATATAGATGTACAAGGACGTAGTATTGCAATAAATACAAATTTAGATTTTTTTCTGTTATATAAACCAGTAATAAAAAGTTTTATACTGGCCACTCAAATCGCTAGAAATACTAGAAAAAAAGAAAATGAATTTTGTTTTTAAATTTTTGAATAGAGAATACACCAGTTTGTGTGTTTAGATAGTATTTATATTCTAGACAATATATCTATATTTCTCTAATCTATTTGTATACCTACATATGTTATTAGCGAAATTAACTACAGAAGAGTTATACCGTAAAAAAATTACTCGAAAAACCTCAAAAATAGTATTTTAGTTAAAAAATACAGTTTTCTAAATCGACATAAGCTTTTCTAACTGTATATTTTGTGCAAATAGATTACTGTATTGATACAAGTGTATACGAATAGGATATAATATTCTACGCTCCGTAGCATGATGCAGATGACAGTTGACATTTTAGCTCTATACAGTGTTAAGAAACTGTATAGGTGTGAAGTTAAAAAGTGTTTAAAGGTTTTTAATCCATTGCCAAATAGAAGAAAACAAAGGTTTTTTAATAAAATAAGTAAATGCCCTTATATATGTATATTTCTTATAGATATTATTGTTCAATATAATGAAGTTTTGTAAGTTTGGAATTTGTATATCAACGTTTATTAAACATCATGCAGTACCTAGAGTATATAGATTTTAGTAAATTCTAAAGTTACAACATTACTTCTATATTCTGTGTCTTTATGTACAAGACGAATGTACAAGTACATTTCTTTTAAAATATCCTCTGTAAAAAACACATTTTATTAATCAATTCCAAAATTGATTCATTTATTTGTATTCTTTCCGGTCCCGATGCTCTTCCGATACGGGACGTTCAAATTAAATTAAATTGACGAACGCAATGCCAAATCCAATTCATCGAATTCCTTCTGTCTATAACGTATCACAAATTGGAAACGAATAGTCTTATTGACAAAGACATTTGTACTGGAACGCGAAAAAATGTATGATAAATTCCATACATTAAAAAAAAGAGAAAACATTACCATTCTGATGGCACCTCTTTGATGGACTCACCAATATACACTCACACTTACTCATATATACCATGACAATTTTAAATTTCGAACTTTCGAATTCGCTTTTTAAATGTGTATACGTACGCGCGCGGTCGTAGTGTCGTCGGGATAGCCGGGACGCCGGCCCGAGCGATCGGGAGGCGATTCGTACCACGAGTGAGTGCCGACCCGCCGCGGTCTCCCTTATACAGCTCTCAACCCCAATACTGAGGCGGTGGGCGGATGCATACAGAGCTGTGTATCCTATGTATAAGTTCCATTTATGTGTGATTTTTATAATTGGTTTAGATTAATTGTTATTGAATTTTTTAATGCAATTTTATATTTTATTTACCAATGAAGCGTTTTTATATGTAGGTTAATAAGATTAATGGAAAATGTTATTAGAAGTGCTCAATAATACAAGTAAATTGTGCAGTTATGAACAATTTACTATTAGGAACTTATAAGAAGCTATTACGTGCCTAAAAATATTTTCTCTTCCTTTGAAAAACTTCACTTTAAAAAATGCAGTTGGTAAACAATTTGCATTGTTTTATTAAGTAAAATATTCAGGTTAATAATATTATTGTTCTTTAATTTGACGACCTCGGTGGTCTAGCGGTCTAGCACACCGCTTTACGACCGATGGTCGCGGGTTCGATTTCTCGCACGGCACAAACATTTTTTATTCATGAGTATGTTTTTTTGTATGGGTCTGGGTGTATTTGTATTTACGAAAAAAAAAATGTCTATGTACTTGTATCAGTTATCTAGTAGCCATAACACAAGATTTAGCTAGCTTAACTTGGGTCTAGATGGCGCTGAGTGAACTATCCTCAGATAAAAAAAAAATCTGTAGTAACAATAGGAAATAATTGAAGTATTTTCAAAATCAGAATAAGAGTAAAATAATCTGACTATTAAATCCTTCACTTTTATTTTAATGTGGAATAACACGGGAATAATTTAGGACCAATTTTTAAATACCAAAATAGCCTACAAATTTCGCAATATTTTTTCTCTGAATAATGACTAATAAAGCAGTTCAATAGGAAATAAAATATACGAAAGGTCAACATGTAAAGATAGCTAATTGATTTCTTATAACTTGTTATTTATTATGTACAAATAATAATATTATACTTGACTATAAAACTATACCGTTATTTATAGGATTCATATCAAATCTATATGTAAATTAAATATTACGAAACAAAAATAGGTAATAACAACTCCTGTAACATAATTTCACAGTGCCATCCCTGTCACACCATCGCGGGTTGTCAACAAAATGTTATTACCGTCATCTGCGCCACAACCCACCGCTCCGTCCACTGCTGGGAAAAACTCCCAAGTGGCGGAAAACACAACTTACAAGTAAACACCAACTTTTGATGTCAACTCAACCTTTGCACTTTTATGTTCCTGGTTATTTACAATGTCGTTTCTCAAATTAAAATGCTTCTCTACAACTATTTTATTAATGTTTGTGTAAACAGAATTATCAGAAAAGAACGCTTAATTCGAATTTTAAAAGCTACTTGATATCAATTTGAAACATTTTTCCGAATCCTTAAAAAATTGCGCGTATTTAAAAATAAACGTGTCTATTTTATGAATGTGTGTGTGTAAAAAGGATGAGCCAAAGAGATCGCTTAATTCGAATTTTAAAAACCCAGTTGATCTAAATTTGAAATTTGATTTTCGAATTACTTAAACATGGTGCGATTTTTTTTATGATTAAAAAATAGACGCTGGCCAGGTAGCATAAATATGTAAAATCTATAAGCTATTTTACAGAAAATAATATCAAGTGAATGTCAACTAAATTAACTAAGCATCAAAAGATTAATCTGTATAGCTTTGTCCCTTTGCCTTTTTCAACAAGGATAAACTATTACCACAGATAAGATAATATTATATAGTATTACTAAGCCTAATTAACGAACAGTTTTTGGGACGGTTTTATACATAACTTAATGTAGATACTATTCCCATGATATTTTAAACAAAAGGACGATCGGTGTTTTGACACGAAAGTTGGTAAATATCAAAAGGTACCTTATTTTCATATTTGATTACATTCAAAGTTAGGAGTATACAAATATTTATTTGGAAATATGTCGGACTAGATATTTCCAACTTTTGTTGTCAAAACACCGATCATTTTATATTTATAATCTTGTATATAAAATTCTCGCGTTACAATATTAGTTACCTTACTCCTCCGAAACGGCTTGACCAACAACTCCAATTTTTCACCATTCTACCATCAACCCCAATTTTTTAATAGCGATTTTAATTTATAGGGCAAAACAATGTTTGCGAGGATATATATATATATATATATATATATATATATATATATATATATATATATAATACATCAAAAAAAAATTAAATATTTTAATTGTCAAAGTAGCGAATGAAGATTTGTTTCTGTGCTGTTATCAAAGAAATCTATGTGATGCAAGTCTTTTCAACCTATACGAGAATACCATTACAGGATAATGTTCGAACTTATAATTTTAATTAATCATGGTCTAATTTCAACCACCGGTCTACCACTAGTTATAGTAAATAGCCTATATTTGTATTAAATTAGCAGTATGAAACTACCCAAGTAAGTATATGTCAGATTACAATTACTTGGCCTTATTCAGATGAATTAGGCCGTACATACATATCATCATCTGCTTCTTCCTTATCCCATTTATTGGGAGTCGGCGTAATATGTTTTTGTCTTCCATTCATCCCTGTTCGCAGTCATCGCGTTATTTACTTCCTTTCTTACCATATCATCTTTCACACAGTCCATCCATCTCTTTTTCGGCCTTCCTCTGTCCTTATAACCATCCACATTCATATGTAACACCTTCCTTAAATTATAACCCTCATTCCTACGCATTACATGTCCATACCATGATAGACGATTACTCTTCAACCTCTCCGACACCAGTGCCACTTTCATACTTCCTCTAATGTATTCAATCTTTATCTTATCCATTCTTGTCACACCATTGGCCGTACATACATAGTAGAGACGATATTATATGTAGATACATAATCACATACATCTCGATCACAATACTTGTTTATTACATGCGTTTGTTTGTAAAACGCTCCCAGCGAAATATAATAAAGCCTTTTACCAAAGAGTAGGAAACGTGGTCATAAATAATAAACATAAAATACGCCCAGGCGGGCTGCCTTTAAAGTATTCATCGCTAGCTTCTGTTGACTGGCTCCGTTTAGATATTGGTTGTATTTATTGAAACTAAATAACTCGTGAATATGTCAGTTTTATTAAGTGACCTCAAAAGGAGGTATTCAATTCTGTGTAATTTTTGTGCAAGTTACATGATATTTTTTATCGAAATAGTATATGAATAAGGTCTATTCAAATTCAAACGTCATATCTTCTTGATATATTATATTAGAGATTAAAGTATCAAATTGCCTATTTGTACAGAAATAAATAACCTAGTTTTTTTCTATGAAGTGACATATTTTTTAATCAAAATATTTACCCTCATTATCTATACATTACTGTCATCCAATCGGAAGTTCATTTATGCCTTTACGAACAGACTCTGGGGATCTACATACGACAAATTGTATGAAAGCAGTACAAAATGATTTCACACAATTTGTCGCCTTTGCTAAATATTTTATTAACAGAAAGGAAAACTTCTGTTAATAAAATATTTAATTACTTAGATAATTGTCCACATTATGAAATAAATGGTAGTCTGTTGGAGCAATGCCTGGCGAGTACGGAGGATGAGCTATGGTTAGATGATGTATGGAAGTAAACTTCTGCTGTTTTTGCTTATATATAAAATTATTATTATAAAATTTTAAAAGAAGATAAGGTGCAATTGCATATGCCGACACTGCTGCCAAGTTCCTCGAGTTCATCGATGGAAACATTTGTCCTGAATTCAGTTCATAAAATCTGAAGCATTCTCCCCCAGCACCACATTTCTAAAGCGTCTAACTTTTTCTTTTTAATTTCACACACGGTCCGTACAGAAATATGGGAACATGAGAGAACGGTCTAATTCTCGTATTCTTTGTGATTTTTCGGATACTTCATATTTTAGTCAACTGGATAAGTTGCAGCATTTCCATGGCCTTAAATCGACGATCTTTGGAAGTAAAGCGATGTGCTAAACCGGTAGACCACCGAGGTCGTCGATATCATAGGATTTCTAAGTATATCAAGGATATCCGTTATCATAGTATGTATAAAGACGACGATTGCCACTTTCCTTCAAGTGGGCCGCCAGCTTCTTTGCCATTCCAACAGTAATTCCATTCCAGTCGTAAAGTTATCAGAAGTAACGCTAAGCGAAAAAGAAGTGTAAGAGCGCGTGGATAAAGAGAGAGAGGGTCGGGGGACGCGGGTAACGGCCATTTTGATTCAAATTAAAGAGCGGGCAAAACCACGTGGCACAAGCTTATTATATTTATTGAACAAACCGGACGAAATCGAAATGAACCTCTAGTTATTTTATATAATGTATATACTCCATTGAATTCAAAACCAATAATATAAAAGTATATTGGAATGGCCAACTCTAGTACGGTATCCTCTTTAATTTCCTTTTATGTTTTCGGGAAAAGGAAGTTTTTAGTACAGCAATATTCGTGGGAAGCGGGAAAATTAAACGACAAAATTTATCAACGATTGGCTGTATTTGATACAGTTAAAATTAGTTTTTATGGTACTGATTATAGTGAGGAAATTTGCAAGTGTTCTGGCCTACCGATTTATTTCTCTGAATTACGCACAAGAGGTCGTGTATTCAAATTTGGAAGACAACAAAAAGAAGTTTTGTGTCGATTTATTAGTTATATTATATATTAATTTCTGACTTATCTCTGATGAAGGAAATACGCATGTCAAAACAAGTGTAATCCGGCGACGAGAGTCGGCGTTAGGCTCGCCTCTGGCTACGTTAGATTCAAAATATACAAAGAGAAATGTAAGCATGTCGACTGTTGCGTTCGACAGTTGATAATGCCTCTGACTATATATCTAGGATACCAGCCATAACAGTATGTTTGTTATTGTTTTAACAAATAATTTTGAGCATTGTAGAGAATACAGATACAAATAACAATGTCGGGATATTTGTTTGCATAAATTTAAAACAAAAAGTG